GGGGGTGTGGGGAGCCGGGAAGGGGAGAGGAGGCCGGGTGCTGAGTGTTTGGAGGGTTGCCAGGTACCCAGCATTTTCACCTCCTGGCCAGGGAAAACCATCAGAAAATCCCGGCCAGCTCAGGGGTCCGGTCTTCTCTGACTTTTTACCGGCCTGTGCGGGGGAATCCCGGCCACCTGGCTGCGGCCCACGGGCGACGTTTCTGCTAATCTTTTCCTTGCACGTGGGGAATCGCTTTCTGATGTGCCCCGAGACGTGGCAGGAGCAACACAAGCCCTGGCTCTGGGCGCTCTGCTAAGCAGCCGGGCGGCACCTGGATCTCTCCGAGCAGCCGCACAACTGGCCGGTCAGAGCTCTTCATCTGGCCTGCGGGATTGCTAGGCCAGCGGCGCAGCAGGTGGACATCGGCTCTCTGGTCCCACATCCCTGCGGCCCCGGGGGCCTCCACGCGCCGGCCCTGCCACGGCTCCCACTGCCTGGGAACGGCAGCGGCGCGCAGAGCAACCTACCCCCCAGGAACGGGTGCCAGACATGCCTGCCTGAGCCCCACGGCGCTGCCCCCCGGAGCCGCCCAGGGTAAGCCGGCTGGAGGGGCCACACTCCCCCGGCTGTGCCAGCCCGACACACAGGGCCTGCCGTACAGGTTTCCAACCCAGACGTGCTTTCCCCATCCCTGCAAGAGAGCGAGCAGAGACGCGGGGAAGGAACACAGGCCGCCCCCTCCCTTCTGGGCGGTGCGTTCACGTTACAGGGTGGCTGGCGGGCTGGGAAGGGAAGGGAAGGGAAGGAAAGGGAAGGCCTGTGCAGCGCTGGGGGATGGATGCGTCCGGATCAACCCAACCCTGAAGCCGCTGCTGCTGAAAGCCGAGGCGCGCACACACTTACCCCCCCAGCAGCGGGCTCCAGCACCCCTCCCACCTGTACTGCTGCTCCAGCTTTGCAGTCAGCCCAGAACCTCTGCTGCCCTCCCCAGCCTCTCGTACCTGCACTCATGTCTATCAGCTGCTCTCTCTTCTGCTGCTTCTCCAGTCGTTCCTTCTCCGCCTTCTCCTTGGCCAGCTTCGCTCGGCGCATCTTCTCCTCTGTCTCCCGCCGCTTCTGGTTCTCCTTGACAGCTTGCTGCAAAGGGGAGGAACAGCGGTTTGGGAAGTGGCTGGGGGGGTTGCTGGACAGGCAGAGACAAGAGGAGGAAAGGTCACGCCGAGGGGTGTGCAGGGTGGGACGCGCTGAGCCAGGAAAGGCCCCGTGCTCACCAGGAACATGTTCCTGAAGTTGTGCAGATCCACGAAGAACTCCTCCACAGACACTTTCTTGGGGTCGAACAGGAAGTACTGGCCCATCTCCTTGTAGAGGTTCTCCATGTTCGAGTGCATCATTCGCAGCTTTTCATACTGCTCCTGCGCGTCCCGCACAAAGAGGTGCAAGCGGAGAGTCAAGGTTACAACCAGCTGCTCTGTGGAACCCCCAGGTGAGGGATGGCACCGGAGTGCCCAGTACCCTTTCCTCAGGGGGTGGCAGGGTTGTTGGGGTTCAGGGTCCTGTCGGGGGGGCCAGGCCTGCAGGGTCACCTCAGGCAGCGTTTGAGTCTGGCTTGCCTCCGAGTCTGCTACGGAGACAGCCACCAACACGCACCAGCAAGGACATGGCTCTAGTCTGCGCGGACGCACACAGCTGAAGCCCGCCTCCATCTCTCTCAAAGCAAGGGCAGGCAGCCAGCCGGGAGGCACGCGAGGATCGTGGAGAAGGGCAGAGGGAAACATGAGACTAGAGGGGCGCCTGCCCTGACCGGAGTGTGACCTCACCCCTCCCATGGGGCGCAGGCAGTGGGACGCAGCCCCTGGCCGTCGGCGCGGGACAATCGTGCCGACTGAGGAGGGGTGGGAGCACCGGGAAAGCCAGCTTTGCGGCGTCAGAGTTTGGGATAGGTGCTGCTGGAGGCGAACCCCGCTAAACACCCCTCTCTGCCTGCGTGGCAAGAAGCGGGGACGGGGTCCCGGGGGCCCCAGGGTCAGTGTGTGCATTCAGGGGGAGCAGGGAGCTGTAGGCGAGACTGTGCATGGGACGCACTGCACTTCCACGCACCGTGCTGCTCCTCCTGCGGTGCACCACCCCTCCCTGCTGCCCCCACCCCGACAGCTCCCCAGAAATCCTGCAGCCGGAGCCCGGCCACCACCCTACAAACAGCGCACCCACAGCCCTTGCGTGGGCCACGTGGCCACAGGGCGGATCCACGTCGCAACCCCCCTCTCACAGCACGCCTGAGGCAGCCAGTGCCCTGGAGCGAGCGCTGCCCTCGCAGCCACGTGTGTTCTCGCATGGGTCGGCACTGGGGCCTGGGCTGCAGGGTGCAGCGTGATCCCATGGAGAATGACTTGTGAGCGCTGCCAGCACAGCCACGTGTGTTCTCGCATGGGTCGGCACTGGGGCCTGGGCTGCAGGGTGCAGCGTGATCCCATGGAGAATGACTTGTGAGCGCTGCCAGCACAGCCACGTGTGTTCTCGCATGGGTCAGCACTGGGGCCTGGGCTGCAGGGTGCAGCGTGATCCCATGGAGAATGACTTGCTTCTAAGTTCGGCAGCTTCTCCTTCTCTCTCGGTCTCGTGGCTAGATGTCACTGCCAGGCCCTGCTCCCCCTTCAGTTGTAACGCTAAGGGGCAGCCCATGTCTGCAGCACTAAGCTGTCTTCTAGAAACTACTGATCTTGTCTGGCCCGCCGTACAATGGCGCGGTGCGAGTGGCAGCCAGCACGGATGCCCAGGTGATCAAGAAGAAGGGGCACTTTGAAGGTAACAAGGAAACACGCACTCTATCTTGAGGCTGAATTAAACTGGCAGCACTGACGAACCCTGGAGACAGGCAGAGACCCCCCAAGAGCGAGACAAGGCCGGGCAGCCTGACACTCCCCATCAAAGGGTAATTCCCAACACCACAGACTACCACCTCCTACGGGTGGAGGACGGCAGCCTGACATGACATGGATAAGAAGGGGGGCTCTGGCCACGGGACTCCGGGTTCAGTCCTGCAAGCCAAGCCTCAGAGGAACCCCGACTCCTCACTCAGCCTTGCCTGGCCAGTAGGACTGACTTGAGCCACCGTGGACCGGTCACTACGCACCATCTGCAGGACGGCCGTGTCCGTGTCTGTGCTAACTGCGTCTCTGCTGTATTCTCAAGAAACGCGGCGCGGTGCCTTTTCCCGACACAGATCCCCTGTGCTTCTTATAAGCATAACACCCTCAGCACAGGGATGCCCTGCATGCCAACCGTCACCCGCCTGGGGCACATGCCAGCACCCTGCAAAGTGCCCAGGATCCGGGGAATCCCCTTGCATGCAGCACCAAGGACCTGGCACAGCGGCGATTCCTGTGGCACAGGGAGTCTAAACGATGAACCAGGGATCCCCTCGGTCATGCACGAACACGCCTGGCCCCAGACCATGTCAGAGACGTCCTCTCCCACAGGAATGGCACGTGCTAGCTCCCCACGGCCTGGCCTCCCTTCTGCATTAGTACGCATGGGCCCCACGGTCCTAGGGGGAAAGGATATGCTCATTTTTTCCACAAATTTGTCCTTCTTGTCCGTGGCAGCGGGGAAATTCTCGACATCGCGCTGCAGGTCTGCAATCTGCTTCTTCATCTGATCCAAATTCTTCTGTAAATTCTCGGCCGAGACTGAAAGAGACAAGGATGGGACGATATTCCCAGCACATCCAACAAAGCCGAGGCCTTGCCCGCAATGGCGTTTTACACACCGCTGCAGCTGCAGCTTTTCGAGAGCCCTGCAAAACCTGCGGCTACTCGCTTCTCAGCCACAGACCACGTGCACAGAGCGGGCATGGATCTCGCACGGGGCTCACCCCGCTGAGAGCCAGGCAAGCTCAGCCATGCAGCGGTGCTGTGCCTGGGCAGCTCCTGGGGCCTTGGCTGTTACTCCCGGACATGTTGGGGCGCACAGCTGACTTGTTTCTACAGCCAGCACATGGGCGATGGCTGCCACACACGGCCCATTCCCCCTCTCCTTTCCCACGGGGCCACGCAAGGGATGGCGGCCCGACTCTGGGCCCACTGTGCTGCTTTTGTGCCCTTCTTGTAACACCAAGGGCCCGCAGGCTGCCTCAGTCTCCCCAGCCTAGACGTGCTGCACCAGCTTCCTTCGCACCCCTGGCCCGGGAGAGCCTCGGCGTCGGCCAGAACAGTCCCTCAGCGCCACAGGCAGCTTGTACCGCCCCAGGGGTGCACAAAGGGAACACCCCAGCGCCCCGGCCCTGCCCCACACAACACAGGGCACAGCAGACACGGTGAGGCCCTGCGTCTCTGGCGTGTCAGAGTGGGGAGGGCGGAGAGGGACACGGGGGCAGGCTACGCAGGGACTGCAGGACTGGGAGGGATGCCGGACCCCAAGGACACATCTGCAGTCTGCACCCTGCTGCTCTGCGCACTCGCCTTCCTCTCCACAGCCCATCTCCCCCAGGACACACGGCAGGACAGCTGGAAGAAGGCTTGCATGAGTGCAGGGAGCTTCCCTCACCCCCTCCAGCCCACGGAGAGCAGCCTTCCTCTTACCTCCCACAGGAACAAAGCCAGTCTCCATGCCCCCCACCCTCAGGAAACACAGCTCTGCCTCTCAGCAATTCTGACATCACCCGTACCCCTCTCCTCCCATGCTACAATGACTACCCTACGGCCTCCGCATACATCCATGGGATGCCCACAGCTTGAACACTGCGGGCAGAGGCTCACCGGCTCACAAGAGAGCTCTTGGCATTGGAAAAGGCTCCGAAAAGGGCAGCAAGCCAGTGAGGGGTTTGGATCGGCTGCCACGTGAGGAGAGACAAATAAGGCGGGGACTGCACAGACTGGAAGAGAGAGGACTGAGGGGGTAGGATTCCAGCCTATCAAATCATGACTGGTGCGGTAAAGGGGAATAGAACTTTTTACTCCTTCCCATAACACAAGAACGAGGGTCACCAAATGAAATTAACAGGCAGCAGGTTTAAAACAAACCAAAGTAAATATTTCCTCACAGAACACACTGTTAACCTGTGGAACTCCTTGCCGGAGGAGGTTGTGAAGGCCAGGACTATAATAGGGTTCAAAAGAGCTAGATAATTTCATGGAGGTCAGGGCCATCAATGGCATCTTTGGCCTCTGTTTGCCAGAAGCTGGGAATGGCGACAGGATTCCCTGGTCTGTTCGCTCCCTCCGGGGCACCCGGCACTGGCCACTGTCAGAGACAGGACCCTGTGCTGGATGGGCCTTTGCTCTGACCCCGTCTGGCAGTTCTGATGGTTTTATGACAAATACCTCGACTAGCTTTCTCCACGTGGATCAGCTCATCGGGGAACTTCATGACCTCCGGGTACTTCTGCTCACACAGCTCAGTCAGGAAATGCAGCAACGTTAACTTCTGGTCAGTGGACTTGGTGTCTCGGAGCTGGGAACGAGAAACGTGGCGATGGGAAAGGCGGGGCGGAGAACCCGCCGCGGTCTGCGGTCCCTGGCCCGGGGAGCGAGTCCCTGCCCACTCACCTTGCAGAGGAAGCTAATGTTGAAGCCAAAGGCGCCAGCGTTCCTGGAGCCTGCATTCATGTAGTTGCCCACCAGTAAGGTGATCTCCAGCAGGCTGGAAAAGCTCTGGCTTTGGCGCACCTCCTCGCAGGCCGCTGTCACCGAGACAATCTCAGGCTTGATGTTCTCCACCTGCTCATTAAACTGCAGCTTGAAGAGGATGGCATGGAGCCGGGGCCGCAGGCGGGAGACGGAGCTGATCTGGGGAGGGAAGGGGACAGGGACAGGGTCACAGTGGGAAGGGGACAGGAAAGAGGGGAAAAGCTCTGGCTTTGGCGCACCTCCTCGCAGGCCGCTGTCACCGAGACAATCTCAGGCTTGATGTTCTCCACCTGCTCATTAAACTGCAGCTTGAAGAGGATGGCATGGAGCCGGGGCCGCAGGCGGGAGACGGAGCTGATCTGGGGAGGGAAGGGGACAGGGACAGGGTCACAGTGGGAAGGGGACAGGAAAGAGGCCTGCTCACCCGGCACGGTGGCCTATGCGCTACCCGCTAAGGCCCGGGGCCACTAACCACGCTGGCTCCCAGCCGCACGCAGGCTCCGCTGGCCGGCTAACCG